CTTAAATAGGCAACCAAAAGTTGTATGTGTGACTAGCTGTACTCTTGTGATACTGATGTAATATGTAAGCCAGTCTTTAGATATTGACCCACCTGTTTAAACTAATAAAGTGCCAGGGGCCTAAGTGGTCACCTCAATATTAAAAAAAAACAAAAAAAAAACAAACATGTGGCTATATTTTACTAATTTATCTAAATTTGGAAAGTAAACAATATCAATTTTTTGAAGAAGATAAGCCTAGTGCTTAGCAAAATCAAACAATTATCGAGTTTTTAAATTTATCAATCAATAAATTTAAAAACTCAATAATTGAATTTTTGTTTGATTTTGCCAAGTACTAGATAAGCTAAATCCTTACTTTTTATTAAAATTTTTTGGAAGACTAACAAGAAGGAAAGAAAGTAAAAGAGGAACCACTTGACTAGTAAAAAAAGTATAGCTTGAGAAAAATAAATTTTGTTGTTTTTCCTGTATTCTTCTTTGAAATAACAATTTAGAAGCTTTGTTAACAAAACTAGGTAAACTATACTCCACTAAGATTTTTTATACAAGAGCATCTCCTGCCAGTTATCTTGTATAATAATGCTCTTGGCTTGTATACTAAATATTACTATAAAGAAATCCTGTTAGACAAACATTGATCTGCTAGAAAAACCACTTCATAGACCATAACTCTCTAACAAAATTTTTATTTTTTTATTAATAGGAGATTTGGTTCAAGTGATCATTGAAAAGAGTGAAAGTTTTTTACTATAATTTTAATATTAGTAATTATTAATCTATCTATTTGATAAAAAATCTGATTTAAAAAAAAAATAAAAAAATAAAAAAATTTTAAAAGATAATAAATAAATATAGGATAAAAAACTCACTAAAATAAAATACTAACCATTTTAAGATATTCTTTTGTAATTTTTTTAGATCAAATTTTTTGATGCTATTTACTATTACTATTAATTTTTATAATTTAAATAGATTTTTTAATATTATTTAAAAATGCTATTATCTATTATGAAATATAATCAAGTATATACTTGTTAAATACTTGCTAAGTATTTGTTAAATATTTGATAAATATTTACTATATTAGATATAAGATATATTAAAATTAAATTACAAGTATTTAATTAAAATATTTATAGCTTAAATTAGTGTTATAAATTCAAAAAAAATTTATTGGCGCAAGTGTGTATTATATATGAATGATATGCGCACAAAATGTTTAAAAATATACGCAAAAAATTATATATATACAGTATATAAAGTGAAATTATAATACGTGCAGAGCGCCAATCATTTTCAACAAATTATGCGCAAATTTAAGTTTACGCCTACTGCGCGTTTCCTACCCCTTTATACCCCCTTCTACTCCCTCTGCCCCACCTCTTGGGGGTAAAAGAGGTAAAGGGGTAAAAGGGGTAGGGTATATATGAGCTTTTTTGTCAGCTCCTTAATACAGTATTAATTTAATATTAAAAATTTAAAGTGCTTTAATAATACGTATTAAATATAAATACTTATTTTAAATGCTTAGATTAATAAATTTTTTTCATATGTACTTAAACAACGTTAAGCAGTAAATATGTACTGTATGAACTTGAATATATTACTGTAAATACTTGGATTAATAAAATAAATGTTGTTCATACTGACTGCAGTAAATTAAAACGAAATTAAATAATATTCATGATTGCATAGCATATTTTAGATATTGAGATTAATAAATATCTTTACACTCGCTGGATTAATGCGAATAAAATAAATTAAATAGTAAATGTTCATGAAATTGAGTATATATTTTTTAAATATTTGAATCAATAAGTGTTCCTTATGCTAAGTAAATTATATAAAATTAAATGATAAATATTCATGGATTGAAATAATTTATTTTAAATATTTTACATTCATAAATCCCTTTATATTAACATTTGGAATAGAATCAAATAGTGAATATTTATAAATTCGAATACGTAGCTTATTTTAAATATTATTCTTAGTAAATATTCACGAACCTGAATTGATTATATTAAATACTTAAATCATGATGTTCTTTATACTCATAGCTTAACACGAATAAAATGGAATTTCGGGAAAATAAAAGTGTTAGAAAATAAACTGGTGGGGAAATGAAAAGCGAAGAGTCAGCGAAGTAAAAAGTTGTGTCGGGACTGGTAGAGATCTACCTCACATATATAAGATTATGCCATGGACCTCATATCTCGCGCGAATTATTAAGAAAATCTTGGCAATTAGTAATTTATCAGATATAAAAAAAGATTTGAGCTATCACAAAAATCTATAATCCGTTGAACTCAATTTAGGGTTGGATAAGGCCACTTCGTACCAAGTCATATGATTTATGGAGTGTATGTTAGTTTGTCTCGCGCGAGGTACATCTCTAGAAGTGAGAAATAGAAGGCGGGAAAATGATTAGGACAAAAGTCACGTTTAAATATATGCATTTTTATTGGATAATATTATTGACTATTCGTACATTTTTATGGTCAATAATATATGGTTCCAGTCACTGTTGGAAATTTGGACGTCCAGTGGAGATTCGAGTCAACAACACCGTATCATTTCACCGAAAATCACTTCAAAGGCTCCACATTTCACCGAAAATCACTTCAAAGGCTCCACATTTTACCGAAAGTCATTTCAAAGGCACCACATTTCACCGACAATCACTTCAAAGGCACCATATTTCACCGACAAGCATATTTTACAGACAGACAAGTCACTAACCGCTCATTTCACAAACAAGTTTTTTTTTATAAATTGCACTAACCTTAACTCTATTTCTGAACGACAATGACCAGAATGAACTTGTCTGTAAAATTAATCGTCTGTAAAATATGCTTGTCAGTGGTTTCTTTGAAGCGATTGTCGGTGAGCTGATCGGAACCGGCTTTCAGCATAGCTGATGATTGACGGCTAAAATTAGGTGGTAATATCAATATTCAAAAAATGTTGGAATAAAAACAAAATCTCAAAGATAACGGCTTAAAAAGAAACTAGCTATTTAAATTTTGAGGTTTTCTCGCACAGACGTTGAAATTTCTACTCAATCTTCGAGGATTTTAGATACAATGTATTGTATACTATATAAAGTAAAAGTAATAAATTAACCTGTTGGATCGACATAAATTAGCCAGTCACACGAATGATTTTTTCTGCGAACGAATCTAATTTTAGATAACTCCTAATCATTCATTGCATCGACAAAATTTTTTGTTAGCAAATTGTATAGAAGAATATCTGCTTTATACGGTAATACGATTAACCCATTTTGTTTGTAAGCAGTGTTTTTGTTGACACATAACTGTATAACTTAAAGCCCACATGTAATGTGTAATATTTTTTTTTTTGTTTAATTAGCATTGAACTTATATACAGCTAATATAACTAATATACAGTAAACAATAAATAACAAAGTGTATATATATATATATGCTTTTAAGTTGATTATTTTGCACGGCAAATATTAAAAGCTAGAAATGAATCTTAAGAATTTTTTATTATTAATGAAACTTTACGTTCTCAAAAAGTACTTTAAACTGTATAAATAAAGTCACGGGTAATTTGATTTCCAGGGTTTATCCGATTTTGCCTATTGGTGTTATATTCTAAATTAGTAATTTAAATTTAAATAATTATATCGCCATCTACGTTTAGCATTATCATTAAACATTTTATTGTAACGTTACATAACATCTTAAAATATTTCTCCGGAAAAAATTCAAAATCCGTCGGTAAAGTTTATTTGCCTTTTTAATAATAGACTTATATAAAGCGAAATTTTAAAAGTTTCGTCGGATAAGAATTTAATTGATATTCATTGTAGTTAGCTGGCTGCACATATAAGGACTTGTATGTACATACGTACTGAATAAAAAACATTTGATCATGAGAGCGTAGTCATATGATTATATTTTTAATGTACAAATTTGAAATTGAATAGCTGTTTCAAATTTCAATTGTTTCAAATCTTTTCGTTATTAATAATAAAGTCGTACAAACATATTCACGATATCCACGTACATAACATTCTTTTATCCTCGAGAATCATCAAGAATTTTTTTTTTTTGCTTTTTTTTTTTTTTTGCGATTTAATCTTCCTCTTCAACGGATGCATGTATACATCATTTCTCGAATCGGCCGAAACAATCTTATAGCTATTCTATTGTAAAATGCATCTAATGCATGTCAATGTAAATGATTGGTTATTTCAGTAATTCGATTCTCAATGCATAAATTGTGCTCGTTGTTGACAATTTGTCTTTATATCTCTTTTTCTCTTCTAACTATTTCTTTTATTTTTCTTTACTTTTCTTTCCTACGCTCTTTCTTTGCTATTGAATGCATACGCATTCTTTTATTTCTATGTACCATTCCTTTTCTCATATATAAATTTGGTGGTTCATATCTTGATTGACGTGATCCCACCAATCCTTTTCAGAAAAAAAATTTTAGATATATATATTAAATCGTTGCGACATTATATATAATACGTAATAATCATGAGTGGCGATAATGAATTTTACTCACCACTTTTCAATAAAAATGGATTATCAAATTCGAAGCGCCCGCCTTCACAAATTTCAAATTTGATGCGCCCATCTTCACAGATCTCCTCAAATTCAAGGCGCCCACCTTCACAAATATCCTCAAATTCGAAACGTCCACCTTCACAAATTTCCTCAAAATCGAAACGCCCAATTTCACAGGTCTCCTCAAGTTCGAAGCGCCCACCTTCACGGGTCTCATTGCCCGAAGAACGTCGACAAGAACGTGATTACAATTCTCATAACGTACCACCTCTACCACCAGGAGATCAATTTTTTCAACTTACATTACCCAAACAATATTATCCACCCGTGTTACCTGAAGAACATCAACAACAACCTCGATCTATTCATAATCGTCAAGAATCCTCAAGCAATTCTAAGGATCAAGAACTTCTTCCTCCAACTTCAATTCAATCACTTAATAATGTTCATTCTACCGAATTGTCGTCCGCACATAATTCGGTATCATTATCTTTTAATACCAACGGATCTCAACTAAATCTAATGTCTTCTAATACTAATTCTGGCGCTATGGTCAGTACTCCTCCACCTACTATTAGTTACCCGAACTATGATGAAAAAAAGTTTAAAGGTGATCCTTCTAAACTTTCCAGTGGCAATAATTCGAAAAAACCTAAATGCAAACTCTGGATCATTATTGCATTGCTCGCTGTCATAATAATAATCATTGGTAATTTTATCTCTATAATTATATATATAAAAAAGCATTTGTTTTAATATCTGATATTTAATTTATATATACATATCAATATATTTATATTATTTCTTTGTTAAATATATAGCTGCTTCAGTTACAATTGCCAAAATTGCCGCTTCTAATTTACAATCAAGTAACACACCTGCACTTAATGGTACTGATGGTACTAATTCAACTAATGGTCTACCATCAGCCAATAATCCAACTGGAATTAATTCAACTAGTGATATAACATCAGCCAATAGTTCAACTAATTCTACTAATGATTCGTCTGTTGGAACTAGTTCTACTAAAAATTCAACTGGTGTTAATCCGAGTGAAAGTCCATCATTAACCAGTAATTCACCTACTCCAACCAAATCAAAAAATTCTAAACATACAACTTCTACTTCTCCTACTGATAGTGGAGATAGTGGAGATAGTGGGGATAGTGGGTAATAAATAGTAGAGATATAAATAACGGGGAATGGATACATTTAACTATATTACTGTACAATACACATAAATTGGTATTTAATACGCTATCCTATTATTCAATATTACTTTAATGATTTGCATTATTATTATGTCCCTTTTTGTACATTTTTTTTTAAAAAACGTATAGGTATTCTTGATTCGACTTTTAATTTTTAGTATCATATATAAAATTAAACGCTTAGCATGTAATAAGTTGACTGTACTATTAATTACTGTAGAGATACTGTAGTAAAAAATTAATTGAAAAATTTTCAAATATGGTACAAACTAGAAAATTTTATTTTATTTTAGATTTTAAAATTTCATTAAAATACGTTTGAAACACTAATCATTATAACACTTTTAGATCCAAATTGTCTATTTGGTCGCAAAGCGAAAAACCATAGTTTTTTTAATTTTCAAATATTTTCGTTTTAAAGGATATAGAGTTGCTGGTGACTATCTAAAATCTGATTGGATAATATAGTAATAGCCAATCAGATTTTAGATAGTCACCAATTTAACAGATACTGTTAATGTAATGATCTAATTTTCTTAACGTATCCCGCATATAACGATTATGCTATCGCATTAAATTCGAAATAAAGATTATTTTATACTTTTGTAATATAAATTATTGATTTTTGTTTATACTAGGAAAACATGCACTGTTAAATATTCAGAGCCAAAAATTCAATGGCTAGTTAAAAATAGTAATTATAGTATATTGTTAATATTAGCTATGTTTAAAAATAGGAACGGGCATAAATACACACAAAATCTGGTCTATTAACACTCAATATTTCTGCCTTCAATAAAAAACAACAGAATATAAAAATAATAGCTTTTTTGATTATTTATATAAATTTGATCTAGTAATAGTGTTTATTCGGAAGCTTAATTGGCCTGTCCACTAATTATCTTCAAATTGAAAAGGATCTTGAAAATTATTTCGAAAAGTTCACACTAATCGTTAAATATTGGGCTTTGGTGCGGATCGGCTTACTAGAAATATGTTTAAGAATTAGTTTAAACGGCCTTATTTATAGGTTATAAATAAATTGTGACTCCCGATAAAGTAGATGCTTAATATGGAAAGACTAATTAAAACATAGATACATATAAATCAATCTCAAAAAACGAGCGATAATAAAGTCATAATCAAATTTAATTCTTGAATATCCATTATATCGAGAGTCACTGTATATTATAGTACAATTTTTAAGGCCAATTTCAAGATGTATTGAGAGTAATACTGTATCCTTACTTAGATTTACTGGTTTAGGGAGGCTTTTAAAATTCAAAGGTCGACTTGTATAAATAGCTTGTGGATGTGTCCAATAATTGATTCTTGCCGAATTGACTTGATTATATGTTGAGGAATTATTGCCCAAGTCTTTAATTTCTTTAACTTGTTTATATAATTCAGTTTCTTCTTTTTCCAAATCATCATGAAATTGTCTCAGCTTATTAACTAATTCTTTAGCAGTTGGTCTATTATGAGGTTCAGCATCTAAACATTTATTCATTAAATCCGAAAGTAGTTGAGGAACTTTACATTCTATTTTAGGTCTATAGCCTTGACAAATAGATAGTACTAGTTGATCATCATGTGGAATATCATAGTATGGTGGATATCCAGTAAAAACTTCTGACATAATTATTCCAAAAGAATAAATGTCTGATTCTTGAGTGTATTCCTTTCCATTTGTATATAATACCTCTGGAGCAATATATGGAAGCACACCAAAAAGTACATTAGAATTTGAGTCCTGTGATACTGGATTACATAAGCCAAAATCAGTGATATAAGGACTAAACATATTTTTATTAACTATATTTCCGGAATGAAAATCTTTATGCAATAATTTGGCTTTATGAATTGCACAAAGCCCATCAGCTATGAGAAATAAGTTAACTATTTTAGAATCCCAATCCAATTCATTATATTTACTATATAATAATTTTCGGAGACTTCCTTGCTTTGCGTACTCCATAACCATCACGTAATTACCATCTTTTGGATTCTTAGTTATTCCATAAATCGCAATTGCAGATCTGCCTCCAAGTTTATGTTGATTTTCAACCTAAAATATTAATTATTTAGGATAAATAAGATTACTACACTTTAATGATCATAAATTAAAGTTCGTACGTACTTCTTCTAAAAATTCTCGTTTTATAGCTTTAGAATTATCGAGACTTTTTAAACAAACACCTATATACGACCATCTCTCCCATTCATTCTTCTGCTGATCAAATCCTGTAATATAACCGTCAATCCATACTGCCTTAAAAACAGTGCCAAAGCCACCTTTAGTAAGATACTTTACATTTGCAAATTTGCTAAAGGGTATCCATTCAATAATGTCCTTAAATTTCTTTGCATTAATTTGTATTTGTCGAATTAGTTGATCAATGTCATGATTATCACTTGTCCAATTATGAAATTCTTTCTCAAATCTTAATAGAACGTTGAAAATAATAAATATAATCATAATCAAAGAGCCAAAATTTAATGAATAATATATACCGTCTATCAAGGATTAACAACATACAATTAATTATTGTAAGGGATTAAAATGAAATATTGTACAATGTAAAAAATAGACAAGCCACCGAAAAATAAAAATTTTTTCGAGGTGCATTTTTTAGAGGTTAGAGGTTAGTTTAGAAAGAGTTTATAATAAACAAGTATAAGTAGTTTAAGAGGGTTAAATAGAAAACCACATTTCATTTTTAATCCAATTTCATTATTGTCCGCGACAATTATTGCATTAAAATTTAGAATTAGCATGATTTTTATAGTGATTTGCTGTAAAAGTTCGGTTACTGTACTTACAGACTATTTGTTGCGGTTGCATAAATTATTTAGATAGGGTTATGTTAGTTTTGTAATAGACTTATCGTGATTTACTGTAAGAAGTTCGGTTACTGTACTTACGAGCTGTGATTTAGATAGGGCTATGTTAGTTTTGTAATGGGCTTATCGTGATTTGTAAAAAGTTCGGTTACTGTACTTACTCGCTGTGGTTGCATAAGTGATTTAGATAAGGCTATGTTAGTTTTGTAATGGACTTATCGTGATTTGTAAAGTGATTTTCTGTAAAAAGTTCGGTTACTATACTTACTCGCTGTGGTTGCATAAGCGATTTAGATAGGGTTATGTTAGTACTTGTCATGATTTGTAAAATTATTTGCTGTAAAAAGGTCGGTTACTGTACTTACAGACTATTGTGGTTGCATAAGTGATTTAGATAAGGTTATGTTAGTTTTGTAATGGACTTTAAAGTGATTTACTGTAAAAAGTTCAGTTACTGTACTTACAGACTATTTTGGTTGCATAAATTATTTAGATAGGATCATGTTAGTTTTATAATGAACTTATCATGATTTGTAAGTGATTTGCCGTAAAAAGTTCGATTACTGTACTTACAGACTATTGTGGTTGCATAAGTGATTTAGATAGGGTTATGTTTAGTTTTGTAATGGACTTATCGTGATCTGTAAAGTGATTTGCTGTAAAAAGTTCGGTTACTGTACTTACTCGCTGAGGTTGCATAAGTGATTTAGATAAGGTTAGGTTAGTTTTATAGTGGACTTATCATGATTTGTAAAGTGATTTGCTGTAAAAAGTTCGGGTACTTTACTTGCTGTGGTTGTATAAGTGATTAATAGGGTTATGTTAGTTTTGTAATGGACTTATTGTGATTTATAAAGTGATTTGCTGTAAAAAGTTCGGTTACTGTACTTACTCGCTGTGGTTGCATAAGTGATTTAGATAGGGTTATGTTAGTTTTGTAGTGGACTTGTCATGATTTGTAAAATGATTTGCTGTAAAAAGTTCGGTTATTGTACTTACCGACTATTGTGGTGATTTAGATAAGGTTATGTTAGTTTTGTAATGGACCTATCGTAATTTGTAAAGTGATTTACGTAAAAAGTTCGGTCACTGTACTTACGGGCTGTGGTTGCATAAGTTATTTAGATAGGATCATGTTAGTTTTATAATGAACTTATCGTGATTTGTAAATGATTTGCCGTAAAAAGTTCGGTTACTGTACTTACACACTATTGTGGTTGCATAAGTGATTTAGATAGGGTTATGTTTAGTTTTGTAATGGACTTATCGTAATTTGTAAAGTGATTTACTGTAAAAAGTTCGGTTACTGTACTTACTCGCTGTGGTTGCATAAGTTATTTAGATAGGATCATGTTAGTTTTATAATGAACTTATCATGATTTGTAAAGTGATTTTCTGTAAAAGTTCGGTTACTGTGCTTACTGACTATTGTGGTTGCATAAGTAAATAGTGTTATGTTAATTTGTTATGGACTTATCGTGATCTGTAAAGTGATTTGCTATAAAAAGTTCGTTACCGTACTTACTCGCTGTGGTTGCATAAGTGATTTAGATAGTTATGTTAGTTTTGTAATGAACTTATTGTCGATTTGTAAAGTAATTACTGTACTTACAGGCTGTGGTTGCATAAGAGATTTGGATAGGGTTATGTTAGTTTTGTAGTGGACTTATCGTGATTTGTAAAATGATTTGCTGTAAAAAGTTCGGTTACTATACTTACGAGCTGTGGTTGCATAAATGATCATAAATGATTTAGATAGGTTATGTTAGTCTTGTAATGGAATTATTGTGATTTTTTAAAGTGATTTGCTGTAAAAAGTTCGATTACTGTACTTACAGACTATTGTGGTTGCATAAATTATTTAGATAGGGTTATGCTAGTTTGTAATAGATGTGATATTTAAAGTGATTTACCGTAAAAAATTCGGTTACTGTACTTACATACTGTTGTGATTGCATAAGTAATTTAGATAGGATTAAGTTAGTTTGTAAAGTGATTTGCTGTAAAAAGTTCGGTTACTGTACTTACGCACTGTGGTTGCATAAGTGATTTAGATAGGGTTATGTTAATATTAGTTTTGTAATATACTTATCGTGATTTGTAAAGTGATTTGCTGTAA